AGTACCCAATAATTTGGTAATTAAGTACTTGAGTTTTGGGTTTTCGTAATTATAGTACAGGTTTTGGGTAAGTAGGCATTGTTTCTGGACTCGTATGGTGCAATCGGTTTAAGGTTTTTGGGGTTCAGCGCCCGCATTGTTAGGGGGAAGTGATTGCATGGCGCTCCTGCACCGCAGGCTATGGTTACTTGGAGGGTGGGGGGACTTAGTAAGTAAGTTATTTGATTTGGATAGCTGGGGTTATTACATGAACTCAAAGGGGTTAAGAACCTACTTACCTATGCTCCCTTACGCTTTGTTTGTTACAACCTCGGCTCATCATCTGGGAGTTTCTCCCCATTAGGGCCCTTGCAACCCCGAGCTTTGTGGGGATTATGCGGGATTAATGCACGTCCCTAGTGAGGATTCTGTGGGTCATCTGGCGCACACTCTTCTGTGCTCCTTGAGGTGCCCCTAAAGATGGAAATGTTATGTCATTCCCGTCTCCGAAGTGCACGAAACGTAGATGGATGTAAAACAGGAAGCCTATGTAGGGAAGCGTACTATAACTATAAGCCCCATGGTTTTTATTCGTGGTTTCGAAAACTGGACCACTGCTGCAGAAGCACCCCAAAACCATAAACACCCGAACGCCCTACTCCATGTAATTGAATTTAGGTAAGAAAGATATCAGAGCTCATGGCACACAGAATCCGACCCCCATCTAATGACACAGAATCCCATTTCTTCACAGTCCTATATTGGCAGCAACGTTCGTTATTTTGGGTGATTTTTAAGGGCTGGAGAACGGGGCATCTAAGGTACGTCTTCAATCAGCAAAAGAGTGACTCTCCAAAAGTTCTGTTGTGATGCTGATGTCAGAGTCTGCAGTTGCTCACTCCACCAGAATCGGCATTCTAGGATCGCACAAACACTAGTTTTCTAGCATCAGAGCATGTCTACTAGCAATGACAACATGCAATACCGAAAATGCAGTCGGCGCAATAGTCTTGCCAGTGGCGCATCTGCTTTTGACTTACTGGTTGTCAGCAAAGATGCAGGAATGTGTTTCGATAGTAGCCCCTATTTAATCCCCAAACAGTAGTTAGCACTTTCTTGCATGCGCTTGATTGCCTGCAGTCAACCAGAAGGTTAATCCAAAGCTGTACACTGCAAACCTTATAAGCCATAGTCTGCATTTCATGTCCGTTAGCTTTCCTTTCAGCCTTTGATCCCATGGTCTCTTGTGCTGTTTGGCCTGGATTGCCTGGATCCAGTGTCAGACCGCGGCTTGAAGTGGCCCTGCCTGTTCAGCCTCCACCTCATTTGCAGCAAGGACAGGGAAGCATCCTGAGTTTTTTTCAGAAGGTGTAGGGTCGGACAGTCAACCGGCTAGAGGCATTTTCCTTTGAACCACTGAGTCATATTCTGTTATATGGGTAAGCATGGGCTTTGGTCGAGTGCGGGCGTCACATCCGCACATATCCAGCAGGCAAGCCCTACCCACTTGCTAGTCACGCGTAGTCCCTTCCCCTGAATAACAAACCCTCAGCCCATAAGAACAACATAATGCGAGCATTGGATAGAAAATGGCCCAGTGGATTCAGAGGGCACTAATTGTCTTGGCTTGTGGCCGCTGGCTTGGGTAAGGCTAGACTGTTGAGCCGTAAATCAGGGCTCCCAAGGCCTCGGTTACTGATTTTATTTGCCATGTGTCCGTAGCTATTTTGGCCGAAAAATCCAGTGCAACTGAAGCAAGCGTCAAGCCGGCATCATCCGCGAGACACCAAGATGGTCCGCAAGAACGTCACCAAGAGTGCGGAGCGTGACGGATCCCCCGACTCCACACGCGCCTCCGACTCGCCAAGTGAAGCGTCGCCGGCAACAACCAAGGAGGCAAAACCTGTCACCTACGACCCAAACCTGTGGTACATCCATGGCAACAGCTATGACCTGCATGAGTTTGTGGATAAGCACCCTGGTGGTCGCATGGCAATTTTGACAGGGCGCGGCCGTGACTGCACTGCCCTTTTCGAGTCGTACCACCCATGGAACGACAAGCATCGGAAGGTGTTGAAGGCTTACGGAGCAGCCCCCCCACCGCCAGATCCTTTCTACGAGGAGATCAAGGAAGGCGTGCGAAAGGCTTTCCCTGGCGGTTGCGGCAGCACCAGAATGCGAATGCAGGCGTTTATTGGGCTGTCGATTATGTGGTGCATCATGATGTGGTTGTTCTTCATCGTTCGAACGCCCTTTTCCTGTTTGCTTGCTGGATGCATCGTGGCCACTGTCGGCACCCGTTTCTCTCACGAGGGTGGCCACCAGCAAGTCAGCAAGAAGGAATGGGTCAACCGCCTGTGCATGTTCGCCGGCTTTTTCCTGGTCGGGCCTTCCATGTGCTGGTACTATCAGCACGTCGTGAGCCACCACGTGAGCACCAACCAGGATGGTGACGCCGAGCGCGATGTGGACGTGGAATACATTTGGATCGCAGACTTGTTGCCTGGATGGATGAAAGCACTGTCCCTGCCCGGCATTTTCATTGGCACGGTGATCGAGCTGGGTGTCAAGCGCATGATCGTGGACCTCCTTATTCGTGGTCAGGTTGGCGGGCACAAAGTCGACTACCGCTTGGGGGGAATTCTCGTGGAGATCCCGCTGTGGTGCTTTCTGCATTACATGTTTGGCCCATCCACCCTGTGCTATCTATGCATGTACCTGACTGCAGGCGCCATCTTCGTCCCATGCTCCCAGGTTGCGCACGTCATCCTCTATCCCAACTCCAACGCGTATGACTCGTGGGCAAAGATGCAGATCGCCGAGAGCGTGGACTTTGCATCCGACTCGGACTTCTGGTTCCACGTGGCTTTCGGCTTGACCACTCAGATCGAGCACCACTTGTTCCCTGGCATTGGTCACCATTGCTACGACACCATCCGCCTGATCACTCGCGATGTCTGCAAGAAGCATGGCGTCTATCATCAGGATGTTTCCGCGTCTACCGCCTTCGGTGCGCTGTGGAGGCGTCTTGTGGCCGCCACCCCGGCTGCTCTTTTGATGTGAGGCCGCAGAGCACTTCAAATTTTTGTTGTACCCGCCGAGCAACCTGGGTCCACAGGGCCCAACCTTTTGTGAGACATTTGTTCATGTGATTCGTATGTAGATGTATGTAGTGTAGGAATGTAGGTGTGGTCCCAGGCCTTCGACACAAGGGGCCAAGCTTCTGCCTCGGCAATTTTTGGTCGGTATGCATCGAAGCATGGCATGGCAAGTGCCATGCAGAGCCGCGCACGATTCTCAGTGATGCTGGCGCCAGAGCTAAAGGCTCTGGCTCACGCCCATAAAGCTGCGTTGCGACAGGCAGCTGAACAACTTGTGTCCTGCCCTGTCATTTTGAAGAGTACTGCGTCATGACCAAGAGTACCTGAGCAGTGGAACGTGTCGGCAACCAGACAGTGGGCTTGGCTGATGCAACGACCGAAGCAGCGACTCGGTTCGTTGCACAAGCTGAACAAATCTATTTAATTGGCAGTCTGCGCCAGAACTCCGGCTGGCAGACATGGAAGATCGCGGAAGTGCATGAAGACAGTCTGGCAAGGTGCCAGCCGGAGACCACTGGCAACTAGCAGACTCTGATGCAGTGGAACTATTTCATGTGCACGGAGCTCAGCTCACACGTTGCTACATTAAACGGCTGACTCTCAACAAATCAGTCCTTCATACTGTGACTTCCGCTTTGACGTCTTGACTCCGTGCATAGTGGAAGGCTGCCCAGGCACGAATTTTCCTGCCCGTTGCCTGGGCGCCAAGGTTTCATCTGCATATGTGCTGAACCCAGCATCCCAGCATTGGAGATCTGCTGATGCCAACTGCTCACTGCTCGTCTCCCATCTACTCATCTTAATTCATGTAGCCAAGGGCCTGCGCAGCGGATCTCCATCTTGCCTAATTCTATTTCGGCAAGCATTGCCTGCCTCCAAAAATCTTATGAGTTTCGGGAAGGTGCCGCGCTCTGCCCATTTGACCCAGGCTCAGCTGCCTTCCCTACCAATGTCAATTCTCATGGACCCTCTCTTCACGTCGGAGTGGATCTCCAGCGATTCCATCCGGCACGGACGAGACCATCCTGCACAAAATGGGTTTGCATGCCAAAGCTGTGTGCCTATGCCTCCTAACACGCAAGATGCTGCATGTGTCAGCATGCCTGCGTCATACTAGGGGGAAGCGATGAGGACGCATGACATGTCGTTTGTGAGGATTCGGCACTGCCAAGTTGGGCGTGGCTGCCTTCACTTCGCTGTTGCTCCCCGGAGCTTGCTTAGAAGTTGCTTTACATCTTGATAATAGTAAAACATCATGTGATTTCAAGGGTTGGACCACCCACTTGGGGTGTAAGAGATGGCTTCATGTTGAACACGCCTTGCTTTGACCACTGAAGCTGCAGGGCTTTGCTTGGAGCATGTTTTCACTGGGAGGCTGGCGCGGAGCAAGAAGCCCGCCGCCTGCCGAACACCCTGCTTCGCTGTAGCCCTTGCTCCAGAGAAGGAGGTCGGAGGTTCCTCTGAAACATGCCTGGTGTATGCCCCAAGAGTCACATCCAACTCTCCTAGTCTGAGCAAGGGGCTGGTCCACACTTTTCAATATGTGACGGTTTGGCATGTGTTTTAGGAAGTCCTAGCTAATTAAGCGCTCACCCTTCCGGCTGACTTCTGTGACCTTTTTTGTTGCTGGCCAGCGCAGGATACCCTGACACAGCAACGGGTCTGCGAAGTGGTGGATGAGTATGGTGCTGCCTGGGAAAGCCAGGACTCTGCCAGGACCTAGGCTCAGTGGGAAGATATTGCTTGCTTAAACTGGGTTGCTGTTGAGGAACTTAAAATAAGTTACTGTAACAAGGAAACCCCAGTTATAATTCATTATATACCCATATTGTAACTTAATGTAAGTTCCTTTGCAGCAGCCCAAGAAAGGTGGTGTGCTTTTGCATGGCACCAACTTAGTTCTACCGCTCTGCCGGAGACATGAGGCACTTAAAGGCCCAACAGACCTAGCAAGTAAGTGATCACAAGCGGTGATAGCCAGACTAATCCCAATCAGGGGACTTATATTCCGATTTGGTAATTTTCCCAAAATAGGGGCCCCAATATAGCCCCCAAGTACAACAATCCTTGTGATAGAAACCCTCAAAAGGCTTTATCACCTACCGACTCGGTCCCCTGGAATCATCCCTATAGGCACCTGTGTCAACCCAGTTTCCATTTGATTTTTCATAGCCTTTCCCACTTGATTCTACATTATCAGGGTAGTACATCCTTATATAACCCCTGTATAATCCCAAGATCTGCCTCAATCCTGTAGAGATATCATCGTCGCAATTTTATTTTCCATTCTTCCTGCAGCAATAGCTGGCAACCTCTGCCTTTCAGGATATCTGCGCTGTTCGCCTTCGAAGCAGTCTATGTGGAGCGGAGTTTTGACAAACGAAGTACATACTGCGGGCGCGAGGACGCTGGGAACTCATAGTGGCTTCAGGGCAGCCAGGGATCCATTTGAGCTATGGTCTAAACTCCTTAAAGGCGGTTATTACACTACTCTAAGGGATATTAAGGGGGATGCTAGGGGTTCAGACCATGCTTCATGTAGGATTTAAAGCTTAAGGTTTCTAGCCTGACTTAGCCCAGATCTGGGGTTAAACAAGACCCCACATGCCCGTCATGAAGGTTGCATGATTCCGGTGGCTTCGGGAGGGTTGATCAAAGGATGAGGGGGTTTCCCGAAATCAGTGTAGCCAAGGAGCGCTGCATTTCTCAATTCCATGTGCCCAGCGCAGGCTATACGGGAGTACTGGGAGACCCAGATCGTTGGCAAGCAGTCGAACATTGGATTTCGGCATGTTGTCGGCGACATGGTTCTGGACTCTGGAAAACGGAAGGCGGTGGTGAAATGGCTGGCGGAGTTTGACAATGTGCGCTATCGTGCCTTGGTGAACCTTTGTTGTCGCCTGCAAAGCATGCAGCGGCTGTATCATCTTGCATCCGCACTGTGTAACGCACCTAGACCCTCCAATGTAGTACCTTTTTGGGAGTCCTGATAAGAGTCCTAACCCAAAAAACCATACCAAAGCCAAAAAGGAACTACATTGGAGGGTCTAGGCAGGGCCTGCCGTTTGCACGGTTAAGGTGTGAAGGAGAGGCAGAAGCGATGCCATTTCGTGCAGGTAGCAATTCTGGAGTTCTCGCCTGACTTGCGGGACAAGGGCTGAACCACACTCTGAGTAGTATTGAGTAGTAATAATAGTACTAGCAATATTAGTATTAACATTTAATATTAACAAGACGTTTTAATAGTAATAGTAATAATACAAGTCATAATGAATAACAATAATGATATGAGTCATGTTTGTAGTAGGAAGAATGATAGTAGTAATAATCCTGAAAATAATCGTCAGGTGCTGAGCTTTGGGGGTCATGTGGGCTTCACGCATGCGCCGCGTAAACGGAGGAGCTAACCTACTTGGAGGAGTACATGCAGAGTGTCTCTGGCCCCGGATTCAGATGGCCAGGCCTATCTGCGCCTGAGCATCAGCTGCGGGCGATGCTGCGCATGGAGCCAGCGCCCGGGCTCGTAATTATAGCCTTGTAGTCTATGGGATGAATGGGGAATCAAATGGAATGGAAAAGAACATGTAAAATAACATGGAAAATTGACTATTTAGGTGTTTAAGGGATTTAACTACTTTGATGTTTTCTACCATGCTGAACTCGGCCACTGTTATGTCTCACATGGTGGCTCGGCAGGAATCCTTCGGCACGCCGCCGTCCCCTGCTCGGTGTCAGCGCTGCGGTCTTGACTTTCCGTCAAGAAATGCTCTCTTCCGCCACATTCGTAACGGGTCCTGCTATGATGGCAGCCCTGCGGCCCCGCCATCCATCCTGTTTCGGGAGTCGCGCCGGCACGTAGCGCTGACGGTCTCCTACCACCAGTGGGAGGATGACCTTTGGAAGGAGCTGGTGGCTGCTGCGTGGGCAGCTTTCCCCCCCAGCCAGGCGGAGGCAGAGAAGAAGGTGCCTTCACCTCGGCTCTCAGGCGCCGTGCCCTGCAGACGAGCCAAGAACGCAGTCGTAAACGTTTTCGGATTGCGCCTTCCCAAATCCGCTGAGGAGGTCTCGGACAACGAGGTTCGAGAGCGTATTCAACAGGAGTTGGCTCATGTCGCCAACTTTCGCATCCTTGCCTGCACGGGGGTTGGCTGCAATTTTCATGCCTCTTCTTTTTGTGAGGTGCAGCGGTATGAGGTGATGATCCCCTGGTCGATACTAGAGACGGATCCATGCCTGGAGAGACGAAAGCTTTATGAAGGTTCATCAGTGCGTTTTGACCGTGAGCTTGCAAGACGTTTGAAAGCCGGAATCCAGCATTTTCGGCCTGGGCCACGCTTTTGGCTGAATTTCTGCGATGCACGCAGCATAGGCAGAGGTGATCCTCCGGAGTTCGCCCTGAATCGCTTCCGCGCCACTGTGGGCCCTGATGGATGGTTCATCCTATCTCTAGGCATTCAAAGTGCCCTGCCAGGCATGATAGAGAGGATCGTTGGAGGCCTCGTTCTGTGGATGCGAGGCTTTGTGCCGGACGACTTTCTGATGGAAGCTCTTTCCGATAAACCGACGCCAGTACCGAAAGTTCCCAGCTTCTGCATCTATTTACGATCTCCACACATGTATCGCTACGAGCACAAGCACAGCATCAGCCTGACAAAGTGTTCTGGGAGCTTCGGTTGTTCCAAAGATCCTTCTCAAAGTCTTTGGGTGAAGTTGTAGCTAGCAAAACACTAAGTGTTCTTGTGCTTTTCCTCACATCTCAGCCCCTGTTTCAAGGATGGATGACTATCTCGTAGAAATGCAGAAGCGAATCGTCGCAGAGGAGGAAGCCACTGGGACGCTGCAGTCCTGGGCTGATGGGCTCCCTCTCTGGCTAGAAGCCGAAGCAGAGGCAAGGGTTTCTCAAAATGAGAGGCCCCTACTGTACATTAGCTATAGTCTAAACTCGTAGCATCCCCCTTTTCAAGCCTTATAATACTCTCGTATATAATCCCCTATTTCACCCCTTTCAAACAGTTTAGACTACAGCTCGCATAAATACCCCCATGGCCTTGGACCCTTCATATTTTAGAATTTGGAGTGGCAAGTTTGAGAAGGCCCAGGCCAGGCAGGTTCAGCTGCATGTTTTTGGTTGCCGAGGTTCCTTACATTATAGGGTATCTATGGGGATCATATAGGGGTTCTTACAGGGACCAGTAAGGTTATGGGTTTAGGGTTTAGGGGGGTATATATGGGGACTATATAGGGATCATTGTAGGGATCCACCCCGCGCTCTCAATAAAGCACCAGTAAGGTTATGGCTGGCACATGAAGGTTGGACTGGACGCTGCGGTAGGCTTCCACCGGTTCCCAACCTCTTTCTAGAAAGTTGTTTAGGGTTCAGGGTTTAGGGGTTTAAGGTGTAGGTTTAGGGCCAACCCTCGGCATGATTTTTTGTTTCCCTGATGGATCTTAGGGCAGCAGCGATTCTTCAACGGTTGGCCTCGTGAAATGTTCATACCAGAGGACCAGAAGCTCGAATACGACAGTCTCTGGTCAATGCAGCTGTCCACTTTGCCCATGAAGACGGTTTGGGCCAGACGCTTGAAGACGCGGTGACCCCCAAAGTTCCTGTTGCCGCTGTTATACCTGGCACTTGGAGAGCCAGGGAGCAAAGTAAGTAGGTTAATAGGTCTAGAACCCATATAATAACCTTAGTTCTCCCCATTATCAACCCACTTACTAAGTCCCCCTGACCCTCCAAGTAGGCACAGGAGGTAGAGAAAAGAGGGCGTCAGCTGCTGAAAAGATGTGCATGTTTGGTTCATTGGCCAAATATCTGGAAGTTCCTTGAAACTAGTCTTAAAGTTCTGTCACTTGTAATCCTAATAACCGCTGAATTTGGAGCAGGGGTTCGCGAAATTCAGGGGCAAGCCTGCATATCGATGCTTGCCGCATAACTACAGGGATTGTTCAACGATCAAACATTGCGGCAGTTTCTTGCTATGATCTTTCTTTGCTTGGGAAGTTCCATGAAAGAATTCAATAGTGGCTCAGCTATAGCCTGCCTGGAGGTCCGTCGGGAGCAGCGCAAAGACGCCGCGAATGCACCAACTGCAGCGCGCGATGCAGAGAGGCGGGCATGCATCCGTATTGTTAGGACTTGCTTACTTGCATTTTCTGTAGTAGGGCGACCCCCACAACGGTGGCTGTAGCTATGCTGGGGCCTTAACCGGGTTAAAGCAAGATTTGGGAGCCAAATCCCAGCGGTCCTATCGGAGGATGCAGCCAAAAGGCATCAATTCGGAGCGGTCGTTACGAATCTCCCTCGGCGGTTGCGACTAACGCCTTTGAACCCTTTTTCCGCCTTGGAAGCGTCTAAGAACTATCTCACAGAATTCGTGATTCTGTAGAACTGTCATGGAGGCACTTGCGTTTTGCTCTTGCTGCGGCATCTCCCTCCTCCCGTGCCATTTGTGTATGTGGGGATTTCTCAAACATAGGAGTACCTTTTTGGGGGTCCCCTTAATAAGGATCATACTGTTTTGGGGTCTATATTGGGGTCCCCCTATTTTGGGAAACTCCCCCGTGTGTTTTTAGCATGGCTTGAAGGCATGAGAAGGTGCTTCAAGTCAGACGACGGGAGCTTCTCCATCATTGGCGGGAGGCCGTTCGGGTAAGGTTGCGTCGTACCAAATCCCAATTTTTGACTGTCCCCAAACGAGAAGAGTGCATGAAAGGGGAACATGTCATTATGCAGGGAAGGGGAGTGGAATGCCAGCTTCCATTTTATCTTCCATTTTCTTTTCCATTTTCTTTTTCCGGTTAATTGTGAAGGGGGTTATGAAGGGAAGCATCATAGGGGTCATAAAGGGGGAATACTAGGAGTTAAGACTATAGCTCATATGGGGATTTCCATACGTACAGGGTTACAGAGCCAATGTATATCATCAGCCTTATTCCACGGACTCCCAAGAAAGGTAACCCTAATGTTATGGAGGACCCGCCCCAGAACATGGAAACAATTATTGGGGTTATCTAAGGGTAATGGAAAAGAAAATGGAAACTACTATAGTATATCTTATAGTATGTTGGTCCTTAATTTTCGGAAACGGACAAACCCCATCAATCCCGATATGCTGTTCTGATAAGAAGAACCTCACCCGCCGTCTGTGTTGATGGAAGAAATCCTGCACAGTCGTAGGTCCCTAAACTCTGAGGAATTACACTTCAGGGGCCTTTTGTGGTAAAAGATTTCCTCCATGACCAGTCAATGCATTATATTCCCTATTATCGGGACCCCCCCCCCAAAAAAAAACGTATTCCAATTTTTGAAAACTCTTACCCCTAAACATCACCATATAATCCTTGTATCCCCCTATATATCCATCTATAAGCCCTGTAAAGGTACACTGAAAAGCCCCAAGCCCCTAAACCCTAAACCCTAAGTCGCAGGCTCTGCTTTTCAAGAAGGCAAGGCTCTGGCAGATTCAGCGGCCTCGTCTGGTCATGGACATCACCGGGCAGGAGCGGCTTGGGGCATTTTAGCGGGTAACTTGAAACGGGGTTATGGTTATGGACGGCTGTATAGGGGTATATGAGGATTTCATGGTGATACATGGAATTTAGGGTTTACAGTTTCCCAACATTGCGGGTACCTTATATGAGGGGCCCAATAATAAAGACAACAATACATTGGGGTGTATATTGGCGTCCGCTATTTGGAAAACTACCTTTTAGTGGCCTGCATTGGGATGTCGTAGGGGATGTTGGGAGGATACAGGGACACTGAGGGAAAGGGGAGTTGGGGCATCCTACCAATATTCGAGCGGCCTCAATACAGACCCCCTAGTGCCCTAAACCAAAATCCCCAAACCTGGCCCTAAACCCTAAATAGGTACCCCCCAAAAGAATCCCCAATTTACGACTGCCAAAGAATGTACTCAGCTGCCAGACAATGCTCGCTGCTTCCTTCCTGGTGCTGGCGCGGCGTGCTCGCCAAAGGCACCTTGAGCCCACAATTGGTTGTTTCCCAAAACAAGGGCAACCCCAATATAGAGCCCAAATACAAAAGTCCTTACTATGGGGACTCACAGAAAGGTACCCTTAATTATGGGAAACCCCGAATTCTGCATCAACTGCAGCCTGTTTCCATAGGGGTTTTCAAGAATGAGGGGTCCCGTTTTGTGGAGTCTGCCATCAGAAGGATTATAACATTTTGAGGTCTACATTTGGGCGCCCCTATTTCGGCGCCTGGAACGCGCACCTGCCATTAGATCCTCTCCCCATAGCCTGCCTACAACTTCTCTTGGCAGCTCCTTCTGTTCCCCCTACTGTCGTGCAACATGCAGCAGCAACCGCCGTTGTCACAGGCGAGCTGCGCGCAAGGCGCAGGAGTGCTCCGCATGTGCTTAGCCTGTCAAGTGGACCGATAGCTCGCTGATAGCACAGTAGCCACAGACTGGCGAAGGCGTGAGCCAAGGTTGTGGGTCATACTCTGAGTGTCTTTTGCTCAGCGCAAGGACTTTTTATCTAGGCGTGCCCTTGCCATGCCTCAATGATCTTGCGCGAGGAGAAAGTGCACGCAATGTGCCACAAATCTAAGCTCTTGAGAAGCTTCGATGAGTGGGCGAAGGCAGCGATCCTGAAAGCTGATATTAGAGTTGCACAGGTCTGTTCAAGCATGCAATATGCTGGCTTGCAGGTGTACGAGTTTGAGTCCTCCAGCTTCTATGCATCGCGTCTTCTCGACCGCTGGAAGCTTTCAAGGACTGTACCGTCACGAGTGTCCATTGTTTGATCCCCCTTTGGGGCTGCAAGTCCAAATCGCCAGGTCGAGGATGGTTTCCTCCACCACTCTTTGCTTGATGGAGGATTTCTTGGATTTTACGTGCTTAATGTGGTGCAGGTTTTCCTACAATGACATCAGTAGGGCTAGGTTACTAGGCCTCGTAGTGGAAGCCATAGTAGTGGGGCAGTCGGGGAGGAGGAGCAGTAGGTGGAGGATGGGAGTGGCAACAGCAGGAGGGAGAGGGGGGAGGAGAAGGAGGAGGAGTAAGATTTGTACGGTCATTATTGGCGGTTTTAGCATCCGTAAGATACTTCTTATTATCATTATGATTACTGCTGCTACTACTGGTTTTCTGCTGCTGCTGCTGCTGCTGCCGCTACAGCTACAGTTACTGCCACTACTGCTGCTATTCGTATTACTAAGTACTAGTACTCGCATCATTGCCAACCGAAGGTGCCAGTTCCTACTTGTCTAGTAAGCAGTCTTGAACATTTCTGTTTGATGTGGCCTCCATTATATATATATACACGCTCCGAAGGGTGTGCCAAATTTTCACTTGGAGGGTCAGGGGGCTTAGTAAGTAGGTTTATAACCTTTGTAATCTACATGACCCTAGTGAAGCCCATTGTTAACCCACTTCCTCAGTCCCCCTGACCCTTCACGCAACCTGGGAAATGCCATAGGCCTTAGACACTGGACAGCCAAGTAATCCCTTTCCCCTAAGAATGACCCCCCGCCCCTTTAATGATAGATATTTACCTCAATAAATGATGGTAACTACCAGTAAACAACAACAACAACAACAACAACTAGTAGTAGTAGTAGTACTGCTGCTACTACTACTACTACTACTAGCCGGCCTACTACTACTACTACTACTACTACTACCACCACTGCTGTCTAGATCCTGGACACCTAGCCCCAAACCCTAAACCTACCCTCGTTAGTCAACAGAGTAGTATCTTATTTGGATATACTATGGTACCCAATATAGAGTAAGATTATATCCTCTTTTGGGGTATGGTATTTTATATAAGGAATATTTTAGGACGACCCCCCACCCAGTAATAGTGACTATAAGGGATAATAAGGACTATATTAGGGTCCTATTCTATTCCTATTATACCACTATTACAGGGTGGGGGGGTCCTCCTAAGGAATATTATCTTACTGGGTTCAACCACCAACAACAAACGCTACTCAAATCCCAAACCCTAAAACCCTACATCCTCAAACCTAAATAGTAGTTTCCATTTTATTTTCCATTACCCCAATATAGCCCCAATATAACCCTAACATTACCATCTCAACAGGCTTTTGGAGCGCTGGAAGCAGCATACCGTCTTCAGAGCTGGCTTTGCGTAGCCTGGAGTAAAATGGGTTTAGGGTTTAGGGATTAGGGTTTAGGGATAGGGTTTAGGGATTAGGGTTTAGGGTTTAGGGATTAGGGTTTAGGGATTAGGGTTACCTTTGGAATCTTTGGATAGCTGGGAATGAAGGAATGGGGAAAATGGAAACTATGATAATAGGTTATATAGGGACTACTATGAGGGTCCATTCCTTCATTTCCAGTTGACCGAAGGTAAGCACTGTAGGGGGTGTAGGACCCCAAATTGCAAGATTAAATGGTCCCCTTCAAATGGGCGGCTCTCGGCTGCGGATGAAGAGGGACATGCATTTGGGCTTAGGGTTTCCAAACATCAGGGGGTCCTTCTTGGGCTTCCCCATATAAGGGATTATAATGCTTTGGGGTTTAGCCGGGCGCCCTGAATTTGGGAAACTTTCCATGTCCCCGAATCAGTCGCCCTAAGATGAGAGCAGGGGATCCTGCGAAAGGTCCTCATAGTCATGAGAACTACTGGTACAGTTGAACTTGGGAATAAAAGAAAAATACATATATATATATACATATATATAAGTTTAGGGCTAGTAGTCAATAAGGGAATAGGTTATAGAGGAATTATAAGAACAATATTCCTTCATTCCCTACTAACGACCAGTAAGGAGAAGGGTTCGGACTTCCTACAGAGACATCGAGGTGTGTTTGTTAAACGCCATGAGCACGATCTTTATGTCTTACTTGTCTTGAGTCTTGACGCCGGGCCGCGGCCAAAGCTGCATTGACAGGGCTAACTGAAGTTTGCCGCTTGGATGGGGAACTGGGCGGAAGCGTGGTTGATTTGTGGATCGTGCACCGCACCAGCACGGCACATGTCGACATGCCGTTGTGACTGGCACACTGCGGCGGGTGAACTTTTTGCATTTGCGGGCCCGCGCAGGCAGAGAGAGACAGAGAGAGTTTGGATGTTTGGTATTGGGTCAACAGGTCAACCGTTCCTCGGCAAGGAAACTTTTTCCAGTATCCCTGGGAGTGTACCAACACCAGAAGGGCAAGGATGGGGAAAAGGAGAGAAGAAGAAGAGGGGCTTGGGGAATGCACAATGCACGCAGTGTCCTCCTGGCAACTTTGGCATTCAGATTGTACAGACTGACAGGGAGATCGCGCTTTTGGCATAGCCCCAGTATGACCGTGGTTCGACCAGGACACGCATAGCGCACAGAAGAAGAAGAAGCAGAAGAAGAAGAGACCATTCCTTCAAACCTTTCTGGTTCCTGTCTTGGAGTCACTGAAGTAATGCATGTGACGCCAAACACTGGCGAGCTATTGCCGGCAATCTGTTCATCCGCTGTCAATGCCCGAAGGACGGAAAGAAAGAAGCAAAGACAGACAGAACGAAAGCGAGCTAGATAGATGGAGATATGGGTTACACATATGAGTTGCAAGATTCACTTAGAGTCATCACACGTGGAAACACGGCAAACGTTGATATGGCCACCGCGGTTCCAGCTTCCTCCAACCCGCACCTGGATGTGAGGTCGCATGTCAACAAAAAGACCGACAATGCCAAACTCCAGCGTCTTGCCAACTGCATGACGGCCTGGAAAGAGAGGCTCCGCTCCAATGAAGGGAATTTGTACCATGAATTGGCTTAGCAAGGAAATCAATAAGGGGCGTGGTTCTCAGGATCACATCGCAGCTTCGGCTTACTGGTTGTGAGTAGGTAATGGAGAAAGGAATCCGTGCAGTAGCCCCCACATACGATAACCCTCGGTAGCATAGGAGCGTGATCTCTTCCACTCCTTTGTTCCTTGCCACAGGTGCAGTAGCCACTGGACCGGTATGCTGCAGTATACGTGTGCGGTGCGGTATGACACGATCAAACAGCTGGTAGGTCTGCCCTTCCTGATACACCAACCAACCACCTTCACCAGAGCTCAGAACGTATATTTCTCGGGGGGGCGGAGCAGGCGAGCAAACACCTGCTGTGCTACTATTACAGCTCTTACCGTTGCTACTACTATTTGTGCTATTACGCTTGTTGCTACTATGGTTTCTTACGACTGTTCCTATTGCTTTTGCATTCATTATTGTTTAAGAAAACAAAGCTACACCGTAACAGGCTACAGCTTCGGCAGTTGGTTGCTGGCATGTGGCCCCTTGGCGCATGATAGGTCCCTGGCTTCTTCCGCCTACATATCCCCGGTATTGCTCTATATAACTTTATATGTCCCCTACATTATGTTGTATTGCCTGCAAATCCGTATATTACCCTATATGACCCTATACATGCCCTGCATCATCGTGATGGAAAAAGATAAAGATCATGGAACCTACACAAAACCAGCGCGCTACATCATAGTTTCCATCGGTACTCAAGTGAATGTGTGGGTTTCCAAATTCAGGGGTCCCTTTTTGGAGGCCCTATCTTAAGGATGACACTACACTATCTTGGCGCATAGACACTACTATTCTCAAGGGTTTTTGGTAATGCCAATCTTATCATAAAGATCCCGTAAGAGTCATATGAAAGCTATAGGTTGCTTATCTCGGACGTTGGGGTTACCAACCGCCCTATTACCTAAGATAGATCCCTATAGAACCCCTACACACCCCATTTCTGTTTTATTTTCAGTTTCTTTTTCATTTGATCCTCCATTACCCCTGAACCCTAAACGGTAGTTTCTATTTCATTTCTCATTGTTTTCTCCATTTGTTTCTCCATTACCCCTGAGCCCTAAACAGTAGTTGCCACTACATGTCCCAAGTCGTGTCCATTTGATTGTCCATTATCGGGGTTCTATCGCTAAAGCCTGTACAAAGTACACTCTCTATAGTACCTTGTATAGCCTTATATATCGTTATGTTAGCTTGTATAACCCTACATATCCCCGTTAGTACGCTATGTATCCCCGACAGTACGTTGTATAGCCGTATGTATCCCTCATTCTACCCTATATGACCCTAAAAAACCCTTGTATTACCCTCTATAACGTTATATATCCTCAACAGTACCTCATATGGCGCTATATGTACTTATATCCCGATACAACCCTACATATCCCCTATACAGCCCTACGTTCCATATTACCTTATATAGCCCTACATAGGCTTTATACAATTCCCGCATATCTTGTATTACTTATTACTGTTTATAACTCCACGCAACCTGTATACAACTCCTGTTTCATTATCGCTTTATAAAGTAATCCATGACCTCCGTACTGCCCCCCACCCATTAACAGCTGGACAACATTCATAATAGAAGTATATAGAGCCCTTATTATGATTTTTATATTGGATTGTTAGTGGGTGGGGGCAGGACCCAAATCGTGACACACTATTGTCCCTTATTTCCTATCGACCCTAAACCCCAAACCCTACACCCTATAATTTTTCCCTTATTCCCTACGAACTCTAAACTCTAGACCCTAAACCCTAAACGATATTCCCGTATTCCCTACTAAGCGCCAGCAAGTTCATTGCAACATGGAAGCCAAGGCTCGCACGTCGACGGGCCTGGAACTCGGCGCTGTTCATGGCCTGGAAGAGCTATGCGAACAAGGCAGGACCGGGTCATGGTAGAGGCCAGTTAGGAGAGGTGACATTGAGCCAGTGGAGTACTAAGGACACCTGCCCTTGCAGCAGGTATAGGGTGGCAGGTATAGGGTGTAGTACCCCAAGAATGAAGAATCAAATGGGCAACAACATGGAAATTGCATACAAACTACTGTTTAGGGTTTATAAGCGTAGCAGAGACCCCAGCCCGCATAATGAGGACCCTGTAAGAGTTATTTGATAGTCATGAGCCATAGGGTCGGTATTTTGCGGGGTTCAGGTAACCAATTCCCTTAAATAGACCCCAAACTATGTAAGCAGCTGCGGGTGCATCCAGAGGATTTGGGAAAGTGGGGATCGAGCTCACCCTAAACCCTATTTACTTATGTCCTTTTTGTGCGCCTTGACTTGGCAAGGGAGCCAGGAGGAAGTTTCACGAAGTAACTCCTCATTTCTATATGAGCTATAGGCTATAGTCTAAACTCCTTAAACGGCGGCTATATAGGGGATTTTATAGGGGACTACTACTGGGGTTATTAAGGGTGATTCTAGGAGTTAGACCATAGCTCATATTCCCCGGAGCTCTGACTTCACTTAGAAAACCGCTCAACCCGAAAAAAACCCTCGAGGTTGCAGAGCAGCGGCGGCAGCTGCGGCGTCTTTACCGCATCACGAAGTTCCGCCAGGCTTCCATCCTAATATTAGGGTTATAGGGGGGTTATATTGGCTTATATTGGGGTTATAAGGTGTGAATCGTAATGATTGCACACT